GGGTCCCCCAGCCTAGTCTGGCTCGGCACACCCCAGACCCAGGGTGTGCACTGGCAGGTACTGCAGCCTAGCAAGGGTCTCCTCAAGGATCCTCTCTAAACCCTGCTTCAGCCCCGGTTCTTGTGCATGCCGGCAGATGCTGCAGCTCAGCTTGGCCTGGCCTGACCCAGCCCACTCCCAGCACCAGCTTTCACATGTGTTGGTGGGTGCTATGGCCTGTCCCAGACCTGGTTCTCTCATGCATCTGTGGCTGTTGTGTCCTAGCCTGCTGTGACCGCTCTTACTCCCTACACTTGCCCGTTGGCTGCTGTGATCTGCTAGGGGTGACCTCAAAGGACCTGAAAGAACCAGATCTGTTCTCACGCATGCTCTCGTGAGCGCTGCTGCTGCTGCTGCCTAGGGCCTAGCCTGGCCCTGTCTGTCCTCAGCCCTGGCTCTCGTGTGTGTGAGCAGGTGCTTTGGCCTGACCCAGGGAGGCCCCCTGGATTCTCTCTTCTGATCCACACGTCTCAGCTCCCTCAGTTACCGTGGGTTCAGTGTCCAGGTCTGTGGAAGCTCCCAGAAATATTTTTTATATGTCAAACAAGCCCTCAGTGGCCTTCATTCCTACCTGTTCCCTGTCCCTCAGTGCCCAGTGCTGCGTAGTCTCCCTACACATGCTCAGGGCAGCAGAAATGGCAGCGGGGCGTCAGCAGCTGGCAAGCTGTCAGTAGCATGGTGGATGCCTCATCCCCTTCCTCCTGGATTTTTAAAGAAAAAAAAAAGTAAGTAGGCAACTATACTGGCACACTTGTATAATTGATACAAATTTGGCATTTACCAGGCCCAGAGTGCCCATTAGCTATTTTTCTCCCAAAGTGTAACACGTGCCTAGGTACACAGCAACCTCGGCAGTTGCCTACAGATTGGGTTAAAACTTTTCATTAAGTGCTTACAAGGCAGCCTCTGATGCATCGGAGTGGGAGGGCAATTGGACACAGGGTCTCCTGAAGGCTCTGCCACCTGGGCTGTGACTCAGACAGGCCCAGGGAGCTGAGTGTGCCTCTGTGTGTGTGTGAGTCACTTCCTGTCATGAGCTGGCTGTGTGGCCCCCTCCAGCTGCTGGCTTTGCTGCCGGCTCTGGTCTGCCCTGCCCCCACCCAGGGCTGAACTTGACTTTGAGAGAACCTTGGAGAGAGGCAGAGGCCTTGCCTGGGAGGGGAGGGGGCTGCTAAAGCCAGGGCTGCCCCTGCATGGGCCCATGAGAGTGGGGGTGCAGGAGACTTCTGTGGTCAGCAAGATCCCAGCTCCTGGCTCTGTACTTGGGGCTGGGGTCACTGAGCCTGGGTGTACCCAGACCAGCACCCAGGAGGCAGAAGCCTGCTGGTGCCCTTGTGATGAAAGGGGTACACCCTGCATCTCCTCCTGCCTGCTTCCCCTCCTCCTCTTCCTTCCTCCTTGCTTCCTCCCCCCCCCTCCTCCTCCTTTCTCTCTCCTGGTCTCACTTCACAAATCCTCCTCTTTCTTCAACCTGACTTTCAACCATGTCTCTTTGAAATTTGTGAACTTGATTCCTTCAATTTCTTTCTTTTTATTTATTTGAAAGATAAGGCTGGTCTAGACTAGACTGACGCTGGAAGCCTGGCTCTCCCTCCAGGTCTCCAGCCTGGGTGCAGGGATCCAAGCACCCAGGCCATCTTCCGCTGCTTTCCCAGGTGTATTAGCACAAAGCTGGATGGGAAGTGGAGCAGCCGGGACTGGAACTGATGCTTACACGGGATGCTGGTGTCATAGGCAGAGGTTTAATCCAGGATGCCAGCCCCAACATCTCCCTTTCCCCCATACTTATTAGGTGCCTACAGAGGCTCCCGGCCCCTGTCTTGGCCTTCAGCTCTCCTTGGCGCCATCAGCTGAACTGGTGGCGAACAGTGTCTGTGTTGAAGAGAGGCACTTCCTGAGCCCTCGGAGGACTCAGACTTTCATGTCAGCGTCCGTTCCCTCTGCTTCCGGTGGCTCACAGAAACTAAAACTCAACTGCTGACATGCTATTAAAAGTTCAAGAGCCTCCATGTTCGGCAAGATTTCTAATCTGTGTTGATTCAGTGCCAAGAGAAAGTTTTGGAAACGGTGGTATTCATTCATGATGGTTTCCGTCAGATTTATTTTGTTGTGTTGCCTCTTACTGTCCTAATGCTGTGCTTGTGTTCTCCCAGTCAGCAGGCACCGGCACACACCGCGCCTCCACGGCTCACTCATAAAACACACTAAAATCACAGGCCACTTTCTTGTACCCTGACATCCGACAAGTCTCTAAGCCTTCACAATGGTGGCTCCAGGCTGTGACATCAGAGCCAAGCCGCAGATAGGGACGCTGGGCCTCTGGGAAGTTAAGTGAGGTGGCTGCACTATGGAGAAGATCACAGAGCTTGCTGCTAAAGGCCAAGGTCCTAACCACTGCCTGGCTGAGAGATCAACATGGAGATGGAAGGTTCTGGAAATGAGAGGGTTGGTGTCGAGGCTATGCTGTGTTTGAGGGCTGTGGGAGGCAGCGGATATGGCATCTGGAGGTGGAGTCCGCCAGTGGCAGGTGTAACAGGTGAATGTCCGGGGGCAAGAGAAACCGAGGCCCTGGGTATCAGCCAAGTCTCTCCAGTCCTTACCCGTGCACCTGCAATCCCCAGCCAAGCTGGACACCTTAGGTCTGGGAGACCTTGGGATGGCAGGTGTTCCCAGGAGCCAAACACTGAGTAAGACGGTCTATGTGCCGGTGAGTGCCATCCTGCCGCAGGGTCCAGCTGAGGCAGAGACAGGGTGGGGAGTACAGACTGAGCTGTGGAGGGTGCGGGGCCAGCGGGCGGGAGCCAATAAATCCCCGGAGGCAATTACAGCGGTGAGTGAGGCATAAACAAGACGCTTTGCCTGCCGCAGCCAGCCCGCCCCTGCGCGCGCGCACACACACACACACACACACACACACACACACACACACACTTGCCCATCTGCAGAGTAATGGCTTTGCGACAGTAGGAGTTATCTGCAGCATTAGACAGCTCAAAGAGAGGGATAAGTTGGAGGGGTAGGAAGTGTGCAGGCCGGCCCGGGGGGAGGCTGAGGGAGCAGGGCCTCCTGGGCACCCTAGTTGCAGGGAAAGGGAGAGACCAGGGCCGGAGGAATGCCTCCTGCTGTCTGCTGCCCAGGTTGCAGGTGGGCAGCTCTCGGTGCCTGCCTCAGTCAAGGCCAAGTGCACAGCTCCCCTCCTCACCTGTGCCCTGGCCTCAGGGTTGTGTGCTTGCACCCAGTACCAGGCTGTTGCACCTGCCAGCCTGGAGAGGGAGCAAAGAGTATCAAGAGACAGGAGGAAGCCCCAGGAAGCAGGACACATGTGGTGGGCATGGCGTGATGGGGGGGCCAGGTTTGCATATGTGGTGGACATGGCGTGATGGGGGGCCAGCTCTGCACATGTGGTGGGCATGGTGTGAGGGGGACCAGGCATGCACATGTGGTGGGCATGGTGTGAGGGGGACCAGGCATGCACATGTGGTGGGCATGGTGTGATGGGAGGCCAGGCCTGCACATGTGGTGGGCGTGGTGTGAGGAGGACCAGGCCTGCACATGTGGTGGCATGGTGTGAGGGGGGGCTCGGCCTGCATGAGCTGGTTTTTTTCCCTATGACTGTCATGGGAATTGAGACTGGGCTGCTGGGAAGAGGAGGCTTGGGAAGGAGGAAACATCCCAACCTGGCCTGTTTTAGGCTGAGGACAGAGCAAGGCAATCTGCCTATGCCCCCTTAGCCAGCCAGACCCAGGAAGGGTAGCAAGACTCCTGTACGGGAGGTCGGTTAAGCTGGATCTCTCTAGCATCTTGGAATCCTGAGGGTCACAGTGCTGTAGCGGCGGGATGGGCGCCTGGGGCCCCCAGGGGCTCTGCAGGGTACTGGCACCTGTCGCCAAAGTGTTGGCTGACTCCTGTTTGCCTGACAATAAAGCTGGGGTCCGTGACTCAGGCAGCAGCAGAGCATTTGGCCCACCTGCAGGCACACTTCAATTGCATTTGCTGAAATAAATTGCTGGGGAAAATAAATCCTGCACGCATGATTAATGGCAGGCAGGGAGGCAGGCGACTGCCACTGGGAGCCGCCAGGGACAGAGTGACAGCTGGGTGCAGTGCCAGCGTGGCCACGGGGACTCCGGGAAGGCGTGCTGGCAGCAGCATGGTCCCCAGGGTCATCATGGCCCTGCACTGCCAACTGCACAAGGGGGGATCCTGCAGGCTGGACCCCCCTCATGGCTGGGGAGCTGTGGCTGGACCACCACTTCTGAGGACTGGGGGACCCCCTGGGCCAGAGTAGGGAAGAAGCAAAGCCAGGGTCTCAGGAGAAAGGAAAAGAGTTGGGGAAAAGCATTTCTTTTATTTTTAAAGATTTATTTATTTTTATTGGAAAGGCAGATTTACAGAGAGGAGAGACAAGAAGAAAGATCTTCCATCTGCTGGTTCACTCCACTAATGGCCACAGTGTTTGGAGCTGAGTCAATCTGAAGCTAGGAGCCAGGAGCTTCTTCTGGGTCTTCCACAAGGGAGCAGGGTCTCAAAGCCCTACATTACCCTCTGTTCTTATCCAGGCCACAAGCAGAGAGCTGGACGGGAAGTGGAACATGAGCCAGTGCCCGTGTGAGAGCCCAGTGCTTGCAGGCAGAGAATTAGCCAGCTGAGCTAACACATTGGCCTCAAGCATTTCTCTTTTTAAAAAGATTTATTTATTTGAAGGACAGAGTTACAGAGAAAAAAAAGGCAGAGAGAAAGAGAGAGACAGAAAGACTTCCACCTGCCATTTCCCTCCTCAAATGGCCGTAATGGCTGGGGCTGGGCAGGCTGAAGCCAGGCCTGCCACGTGGTGCAGGGGCCCAAGCACTTGGTCCACTTGGTCCATCTCCCACTGCCCAGTGATCTGGACTGGAAGTGGAGCAGCCAGGACTCAAAGCAGGGTCAATGTGGGGTGCTGGTGCTGCAGGTGGCATCTTTACCTGTTCCGCCATGACGTCTGCCCCCACAGGGATTTCTTGCCCAAGGAGCGGCGAGTTCCTGAAGGAGTCACTTCCCATTTCTGGGCTTCAGTTTTGTTCCTTGTTAAATGGGATTTCTATCCCTGCCTTCCCTGTAGAGTTCCTGAGAGGCTCAGGGGTGGCCATGGTGCCCAACCCCTATTAGCGACTGCCCTGCCCTGGGAGCTGTTCCTGGGCGGGGGATGGGGCTGGCTTGGTGGAAGCCTGGACAGAGCTCAGAGCAGTTCCATGGAAGCTGCTCCAGGAGGGGCGGCAGGACTCGCGTACGGGAAGTTGGACAAGCTGGGTCTCTAACATCTCAGGACCCTGAGGGTGAGGACACTGCGCACAGGTGACTTTATCACTTGCTGTGAGACTTATTCACTCTGGGGGCAGTGTCTCCTGGACAACAGGGGACTGTCCCTGCTCAAGTGTCCACTCTGAGCTTATGACCGGTGCTGCTAACTGTGCCAGCCCTGGCCTGCCTCCCCAGGGCCATCTGTTCTACAGCCCTAGATGAGATCATGCCTGCTGGCAGAGGCACAGGGGTGCCCGAGAAGCACTACTGGTGAGGGTGACAGAGGCCGCCCTGGTGGCCCCAGGCAGGTACAACTCAAGGAAGCACTGTATCAAAGGAACATAGCACAGCACCATGCACGTCCCCCCCTCCCCCCCACACACAAGATTTACCTGAAAGTCAGAGTCAGGGAGATGGCTGCCAGGGCTGCCAGGGCTGGATCTCCCACACAGGTGCAGGGTCCCAAGGTCTTGGGCCATCCTCTGCTGCTTTCCCAGGCCACACAGGGAGCTGGATGGGAAGTGGGGCAGCCAGGACACAAACCAGCACCTACATGGGAGGCTTCCTATCATGAATTGCTTCGAGGTTGTTTTTCTTTTTTTAAATCAAAGGGGTGCATTAATCATAAACATCAAAAACTAGCTATTTCAGAGACTGTTCGTTATGGAAGGGCAGAGGGCTGCTGGTGGTTCCTAGCAGGGGCTGGCAGCTGGAGGGACACACACAGGTTTCCCCAGGTAGGGCCCCAAGCTGGGACGGAGAGTAAGTTTCGGGTGAAGAACATGGGCCGAGTTCCTGGGGGAACCCCCCGGGGAGAAAGGCGAGGCCCCTGGGAAGTGTGGCTGGAGCTAGGAGCTACAGAGGAGTCAGTGGGCAGGCGGAAAAACAGACCCAGCATGTGTCTCAGGGACAGCGCCACCTGCGGGCGGGGAGCGGGAAGGGGTCACTGCAGCGGGAGCGCCCCGGCCCGAGGGCGCGCACCTCCCACACGCCGGCCCCTTCTGCTGGTCAGCAGGCCGCCCAGCGGGGCCGAGCGGGCAGGGGCGCCTCCTGGTGGCGCTCGGTGGGAGGCCAGGCCTTGAAGGACACGGATGGCCCGGAGGGCTCTGGACCCAAGTCCACGAAAGGAGGGGGTCTGGAGGGGCGCGCGGTGGGAGGGGGTCTGCCACAACCAAGGGCGATTCAGGAGGTAGGTCCTGGGGCGGCTGCAGGAAGAGGGCGGTGCCTGTGGCCCCAGCCATTCACCCAGCAGTTCCACCCACCAGCGCACAAAGTGTAGTGTTCTTTTCAGGACCCCTTTGTTTAAACATAAACATTTCATGTACATTAAAAAGAGAGAGAGATTTTATGGGCCTGGCGTGGTAGCCTAGTGGCTAAAGTCCTCGCCTTTTATTTGCTGGGATCCCATATGGGCGCCGGTTCATATCCTGGATGCTCCACTTTTGATCCAGCTCTCTGCTTGCCATTTGGGAAAGCAGTCAAGGAGGGCCCAGAGCTTTGGGATCCTGCACCCGCGTAGGAGACCTGGAAGAAGCCCTTGGCTCCTGGCTTCAGATCAACTCAATTCTGGCCATTGTGGCCACTTGGGCAATGAGAGAGTTTTTTTTCCTCTGTCTCTCCTTCTCTCTGTAAATCTGCCTTTCCAATAAAAATAAACATTTTCAAAAAACTGTTAAAAAGAAGAGAAAGGCAGATTTGCAGAGAGAAGGAAAGGCAGAGAAAGATCTGTTTGATGGCTCCAATGACCGGAGCTGAGCTGATCCAAAGCCAGGAGCCTGCAGCTTCTTCCTGGAAGGATTGGTGAGTGGCAGGCCTGGGCATCGGAATGCGGTGACATTCAGTGGGACCTACCATCACCCGCACTCCGTGAGTCGGAGCTAAGAGTGGGGTGCAGGGAGATGATAGCTTGTACAGGACAGAAGGGTGCCAGAGGGGGGTCTGAGCCCAGCTCTGTGGACAGAACGCAGTGCCACCTCAAAGGGAGTAGGCTGCCTGTGCCTGGTGGGAGCCCACCTTGTCCCTGACTTACCCTGGCAGGCCTTGTCCCGGGGCAATGCTCTGGACTCCGGCCTCTCTCCTGGACGTTTCCCTTCCCCTTCCCTGCCTGCCTCACGAGGGGGACTCCAGCTGAGGGGTCAAGACTGTCCAGTGTTGGGAACCTGTGGAATGGGAAGAGGAGCTTGGAGCCAGGGTGCGCCCTCTGCGGGCTCTGCGGGCTGAGTGCCCCTCTTCCAGGCAGTGGCAGTCAGGGGAGGGGGTAATCGGGGCGGGAGGCTGCAGACCCCACCTAGCTGGGGCCCTCCCGGGGGGCCCAGGATCAAGCAGGAAACCCCATGGAAGGGCTGGCCTGGGAGGACAAGAGGCTCTTCCCCTGTCCCCCATCCCAGCCTCTGCCACCACCGGCATCCTTGACCTGGGTGGTGGCCTCCTGCCTATGTCCCTCCCAGCCTGGTCTGGGTTTCCATCTTTCTCTGCCCATTCCCACAAAGCCCCTGTATCACTCCCCGCCCCCCACCATTGCCTCCCTGCTCTGTATCTCTCTCCTCCTTCTGCGACTCTCCCACCTCCCCTGTGCCTCAGCCCTGTCTGGAAGGCCCCCCGCTTTCCCCCACCAGCAAGCCTCCTCTGTCTGCAAGCTCTTCCCGGCTATGCTGGGGCCGGTCTGATTGGGCAGGGGAAGGGGGGCAGCGCGCTTCCCGGCGGCAGAGTGCCTAATATCTTAATGCAAGGCCATTACTCATGTGGGGTCCAGGCAGGCCAGGCCACGGCCCTCCTCGTTTGTCATCTGGAGTGAAGCCTCAGCACTGGCCCTGTGGGAGCAGATTAAGGGAGCCACAGGCTGAAGGACCCGGCAGGGGCCACCTGCTCGCTTCCCCAGATGGCCTGCAGTGAGGGGGTGTTCCCTGACTGAGGCCTGGTAGGAGAGATCTGAGATGAGGGAAGGTGGCGGTGGGGGGTCATAGCATCCTGCTTGTCACTGCTTCTCCTCCAGGACCTAGCAAGGCACGGCAGGGCAGGTAGCACGAGGCTTTTCTCTCGTGCCCAGGGCTTGGGGTCGCACAGCTTGTACCCTGGGCAGTTTTCCCACCACAGCTGAGAAGGCTGAGGCATCCCTCAGTCACTCGGGCCTCCTGGGGTGGTTCTGGGCCCCACCTTGGTGCTGCCCTGGCTGGTTCTTGCTTGCCGACTCAGCTCTGCTGTATGCAGTCAGTGAACCCAGGGTGGGAGGCCCTAGGGCCAGGTCAGGCCTGTCTCTGTGAGTTTCGGGGGTCATATGCTCCCTAAGGCCCCAAGTTTGCAGGGGGCAGAGTCCAGGGTGTTGCTCAACCTCTGGCCACTTCTCCCCAGGGTTGTCGCTGGGTACCTGCCACATGGGAATCAAGGTCGGAACCTGGAACCGGGGGCTGCAAGCCAGGAGCTGCCTCCGAGGGAGGGACAGGGAGGGGACCCGGCAGTCCACCCAGAGCTTCCTGTCACCAGCTGCCTGGACACCAACTCTTGCCACTTTCCACATCAGCCAGGTTCCCATAGTAACCATTAGCTTTCTGTCTCCTAGCAACCAAGTGGTCCCCACTGGGGGAGGCAAGGCCGTGGAGAGTGGCTGACACTGGAGCAGTTGGGTTCACACCCCGGCTTTGCAGTGTTACTAGAGTGAGGGCTTTGGCAAGTCCCTTGACCTCTGTGTTCCTGTCTGTGAAATGGGAATGGGGCTGTCCAAGGATAAGCCTGCAGGACTGAATGCACAACCAGTGACAATGGGATGGGAGCCATGGGAACCCCGCGGGTCATTCGTGGCCCTGGGAGCTGTGGAGGGAGCAAAGCCAGGGATGCAAGAGGCTCCCCACCCAGAAGGAGTCTGCTCAATCCCATGGTCCCAGTGCTTTAAGTGGTGGTCTCTGTGGAGCAGCCACGCGCCCATGGCGGCTCCTGGCTGAACCTGGGACACCTGCCCCATGATGGCCCCAACCCGCGCCGTGGGAAGTCCTTTATCTCAGTGCCAGGTGAGGTGGAGGCTGCAGCTCAGAGGGGCCAGCTAAGGAGAGGCAGAGCTCCACTCCCTAACACCTTTCCCCAGATGTCCTCAGAAGGGCGGAGAGAGGCAGGAGGAATGGGTGGGGTCAAGATGGAGACAAAGAGATGGCGGATGGGGCCAGGAAGGCGGGTAGACCCGGACAGGAGGCACACCTTCACCACAGGGGCCAGAGAGGGAAGTGGACGGGAAGGAGTGGCCTGTCCCTGCAAGGGGGAAGGGGCTTTGGCCCGAGAGACTTGAGGAGGGGGCAGAGCCCCACAGGGAGCCGGAGGTAGGGCACCCACCCTGGTCTGTGTCCCCAGCTGGTCTCCAGGTCCTCCATTTCCCCAGGGGCGTCCAGCTTCCCGGTCTTGGCCACATGGACCTACAGGGGACACAGCCTTGTTCACAGCCAGCTCCATCTCCACCCCATTTCAGGCAAGACCCTTCAATCCCCCGGCCCTGCAGGCTCCCCCGCGCCCAGCCCCTCTCGGGCTGGGGTCAGAATTAAGGTCGATGCGGCAGTTCGGGGCTGCTGATTCAATTAACTAATTCCCGACAAGACAGATGTGCAATTGCGCGTCGCCTGCCATCGAGTGAACAGAGATGCCGCAGCCTGCGGAGGGGGCAGGAGCGCGCAGGGTGGTGGGGGCGGGCCAGTGACGTCACGGCCCGGCGGCTGAC